CGTTAATGGAGACAAAAAGTGGTAAGGTTCTCGACACAGAGGTTCTTTCATCTTTTTGTAAGGCATGTGATACATGGAATTCCATGAAAGGTACACCAGAGTATGATAACTGGCAAAATGAAACATGAGGCGGAGTGTCTTATGAATCACAGTGGTTTCTGCGGGTAAAATATGGAGGTCGTCGGTATGGTTCGAATTTTCCAGCGGTCAGAAACGAAGCATGATGTGGAAGTATATTGGATACATAGGGGATGGAGATTCCAAGACTTTTCAATCTATAATGGAGGCCCAGCCCTATGGTTCTGATAGGTCGCGTTTCTAACTGAATCGACAAATGTTGGTCATATTCAGAAGAGAATTCCAAGACTGAAAGGTATTCAAATCTATGCAATGGAGGCCCAGCCCTATGGGAAAAGTCGCTTAACTGATACACAAATTGACAAAATTGACTGTTTACTATGGTAATGTGAATTCGAGAACCAGACGAAACTTCTTTGGTGGAAATTTCGTAATGCTATATGGGCAATCTATTTTCACACACGGTCAACTGATGTCGAACCGCTGCATACCTTTTGTCCAATAGGTCCCAATACTTGGTGTAATTACCAGAAAGCTGTAGCTAATGGAACTGTCAGTGAATTCAGACATAACCAACACTTCCTTTTTGTGTTATAGATGTTATTAAACCAATATTTAATGATTTATCGCAACCGACATTGTTGTGAAGATGTCTTGGCGGGAAGACACAAAACTGCAATGAATCTTTAAGTAATTTGATTTGGAAATTGTGTCCCAAGACCCTTGGTTCAGGAAGAAGAATTGCTGAAATAGCAACGAATGAGGCCACAATACTCTACAATGAAGGTAATGAAGGAAGATTAAAAGTTATGGCGGAACCTGGGCTGTCAGTTGGTTCGTGTAGTCGAGCATGTCTATGTAAATTAAACGAGCAACGAGTGAAAACTAGTGAAATACGCATTTTGCAAAGCACAAAAGAAATGCGTAAGAAAAAGAGAAATAAACAAAAGGTTATTGAGGAGAACGCGTTGTTACATGAAGGCAAAGCATATTCACCTGGTGCATTTTAAATATATACGCTTTACTTTTTTTTTTTTTTTTTTCTGGACAATAACTTATATTGTCTATTTTTACAACCTGTATTGTATAATTTTAGATAATTTTAAGTAATTTTATTCAAATACCACTCAGTATGAAAAAATTAATCTCCAAATGACTAGCCTGAAAAAAAAGTGAATTTGTGTAAAAATTGTAAATTTTCTGGTCAGTGAGTTAAAGTTTTCGTTTCATATTTTCATGAGTTTTGTGAAATTATTTTGTTTTTAGATGTTTTTATACTTGAGTATCCATATATAAATAATTATATCATGTATTTGATTTAATATGAACACTTAGTTTTCTTAAATAATGCATATTTATTTGATAAAACATACTTTTATCTTTAAAGTCAATTTTCTCAAAACTATGATTTTACTCACTGCGCGCAGCATTTCTCTGAAACGGCTAGTCTAAAGTGCACCAAATTTTACATGGATGTTTATATGCTAGATATGCTTAATATGACGAACCAAAATGGTTCTTATGTAAAACCTTTTAAAATTGTAGGTAATTTATGCCTAAACAATTTAATAAAAATTTAAATTTTGTTTTTAAAAAATTATTTTTGTAGGAAAGGAACATTTAAATAAAATAAATCTTCGTCATTTTAAAGATACATTATTTTTCTACCATATGAAAAAAATTGGGTTCCTCTTATGCTTTATATAGTTGAAACGCTGCGCGCAGTGAATGTCAAACTATTAGCTATAGAAAAGGGCTCTACATTAAAATATTTATTCAAAAGTTTTACTAATGTACATGACTCATTTAGTAATCTTAAACGAATAACTAAGGGTACTACTATATGTGTTAGAAATTTCATTTTTATGTGACTATTAGTTTTGGAGATACATCACTTGAAATTTGAGTAATTTTTTGACATATTTTATCATTCAAAAGATACCTGACTCCTTAAACTTATATCCTCGAATTACTCTAACTTAATTAGCTGATACCTCAAGGTAAGTTGAAAATAACATCAAGAACTGCAAATTCTGAAATTAAATATCCCAATCAATTTTTGTCGCAGGGAAGTTAAACTTCTTGTATTTCTATTTCTTCATAGCGAGTATAAAACTTTCTAAAATATAAGTATATTAGCCGGAATACCAGATTAAAAGTTAGATTTCGTTATTTGTCCAAATTTAATTTTTTATAATATATATATATATATGTAAGAGAAATAAAGAATATGTAAAAGATTAAATTAACAACGTAAATTTCCCTCTTCAATTCTAAAAAAAGTAACCTCTCTCTGCATTGCGTTATTTCTCGATTACTCCATGCCATATCATTCTTACATAATTCTGGTGATGTAAATGGAACTAAAACTCAAGCAGCCAATAGTAATTTTATAGCAATATTAACTATCGAATAAAATGCATTGAGAACGAAAACTAGCTCAGTGTGAATTAAGATTTCACCCTGAACATAACGGACTTGCTTTCAGCGCTTTGGCCTAGATGGACAACTGTCTGTCTGCTCCTTCTATCTTACTGCAAATTTGTCTAAAATGTAAATTTTTTTGGAATATGCACATTTAATGTGCCAACTTGTTTGTGGCTGCAACATGTTGCTGAAAATAAAAAATAAAGATTTAATCTGCCTTTGCCTCCAATTTCCTATTCATTATGGACCAATTATGGAATTATGGACCTATTCATTATGGAATTTTGATGGTTACACACCATCAAAATTCATGCGGGTCATTTACTTCTGATTTTGTTTTTATCGCAAATAAATATATATACATATATATATACTTTAGCCTATTGCAATAAAAAGAGAGATGTGCAACCACAGGTTAAAGCAGTCCCATATACAAAATTTCAATATTCAACTGCTAATCGTTTTCGAGTTATACGAGATACAGACATACATATGCACGCACAGAGCTCGCAAAAACCTTCATTTGGAACCCATTTTACAATCCCATTTGTAATCAAGAGTTCTTTATTCTGTCCCTACGTGCAGACGCCATCCCCAAAAATGGTGAAAAATAGAAACGGGAACTGTCAAAATGGATATTTCCGTTAAAATCTGAAAACTGAGTTTCTTCACGATTACAGTACTTCCTTTATTTCGTATAGGGAAGTAATAATAAAAATATAAACAAGTAACAATGAAAATAATGAACTTTTTAGTTTCTCCTTTTTTTCGCCTCTCTGTCTGCCTAACTAAGAAGAAATAACGTTTTTGGGGAAATAAAGCGATTGTAAGATGACATCGACACTTTGCCACTGAATTAAACTTGACATATCCGTATATATATATATACATACGGATGTATACGGATATGTCAAATTTATTACATATACTATATTTATATATATGTAATAAATTTGACATGTCCATATATATACATAAACATATGTTACCGTGAAAGACCGAAATTGGGGAATGTCGACTTTCACCGGAGAATGTCAGCATTCACCAAATACGTCGGTGAAAGATCGAATATTGCATTATATTCTTGTACATTAAGACCCTCACCGGTGTATGTCGAAAATCACGGACATGCTCTGGTGTACGTCAAAAAGAGAGGAATATATGTACACGCTGTCATTGCAAAAGGAAGTGTTCCACAAATAAATGCAGTTGTAAAAGCAAGGGCCTCTTGTGCAATTCAAAGTGCCACAGTAGTTTAAGTTGTTGCAATAAATAAGATTTGAATCACATAATTTAGTAAGTTTTTAACTTCTATTATTTTCCTTTCTCATTTTGAATGTACTGTGTGTTTTTAAGTTCTTATGTTCTTAAGTTCTTATTTTAAGTCTCAAATGCGTTTCTTGCAAAACTGAATTACGGAGAAGAATATAATATCTTATATGTTCAAACATTCACATTAGTACATGGTGAATGTCGACATTTACCGGTATAAGTCAGAAATAAGAGTATTTGGAAAATATTTCGGACGTGCACCAAGCGACTATGTGAATGTTGACATTCACCGGTGAAAGTCGACATTCTCCAGATTTCGGTGTTTCACCCTAACATATACATTTTGTCACTTTGTTACAGTTGTTGATTAATTATCGGCTTAGAATATAAACAAAAATGCATTTCACTTTAATAATGATCTATTATGGTTACCAGAAGTAGAATGAGTACTTGAGTGTGAATGAAAGCTTACTTTTTTATTTTACTTAATGTTATTTTGTAATATTTGACTGAAAGTATCTGCGCACTTAAAACCTAAATCAGTGTTAACTTTTCACTGAAATCAGAGTTAAAGAAATTGTGGAAGACAAATATTTTACACGTTTTGCTTGGCCAGATAAAATTTCCGCGCAAAGATCTAACTCCATGTCACAGTCTTAAAATTCAATAGGATAAGAAGAAAATTACAGTTGTGAAAAACGTGCATTACCTTTTATGAAGTTATACATTATATACATTTTGTCATTTTGTTACAGTTGTTGATTAATTATCGTCACTTTGTTAATTTATAAGAAATATTTATTTGTTTGAAAGTCTGAACTGAAATATAATGACAGACACGAGGCTGTCATATGTTATTACATCGTACGTAAATAGTAAAGTAAAAGTAAAATGAATTTCTAAAAGCAGTTTTTAAAATTTTGAATAATAAATGTTTTTATTATTATCCATGATAATTGTGTTACCGTCTATTAATTACTGATAGAATGTGCAAAGAAATTTATGCGATTTGAACACGTACAACATGTTTTATGCACATTGCAGCATATTCTTGCAGAGATGGAGATGTGCACTTCTTTTTTTTTCCGCTAACTGTTTTTAAAAGATTCATTTTTAATTGCAAGTAGTTTAAAATAGATTTTACTTAGTCTGATAAGAATATGTTAATATGTCGCTAGCTAAGAGGAAAGGCTGAATTTAACAGCTGGTGTATCGTGTTGCAGCCCTTCCACCGGACGGCCCAGACGTAATTGGATTGCAGCCCCGTTATCAAGTAGGGGATGAGGTAAATATAACGTGTTCCTTTGGACCCTCAAAGCCCGCTGCGAGAGTCAACTGGTATATAAATGGCGAAGTGGTAAGTGAATTTCTTAATCCTTAATAAAGCAAATTTGATCAGATTCGGAATTCTTATATTAAAAGAAAAACATATTTTTTTTCTTTTTTGTGTGTGTACAGATGAGAAAACATGTTATAATTTACTAAAACCACAGAGGGGAAATCGATTAAGAAAATTATTATTATTAATATTATTATTGTATTTATTAATGTAGAATTAAATGGCTTAAGTAACATTTAAAATCCCTTAAAAAGTTTCATGTGTTACCTAATTTAATATAATATATATATGAAATAGTTATTTAAGAACGCTTCCATCGCTGGTACTTTATTAATTGTAGTACTTGGTTTGTGTTTATAAATTACCAACTGGTTTAGTAAAATTTCACTTTATTCGACTCTTAAAAATATTTTATCTTATATTGTAGAAAAGGTACATGTTTAAATGACTGTAAGCTCTAGGAAAGAAAATGTTTATTTTTAGGATCTTACTCTTAAAACATTTTGTACAAAAGTTTTGGGCAAAAAACTTTATTTTATAAAATATATTTCATTACTAAATATTTCTCTAAAAAGGGAGGTCCGTAAGCTTACTGTTACACATATAATTATTAGGTTAATAAAACCCCAATTAAACTTTATTAATTCTTCACTGAGAGCTATTTTTTAAGTTGCTGCAGCTTCCCCTCCTTTTATCTTTTAATTAATTAGATTTAATTAATATAATATGCTATTGCCAGCTCTTTAAATGCCTTAGCTTTGCATGCATTGACGAGACGCGGCGCAACAATACTAGAGCTATCGATAAGCTTTGTACTCAGCTGTTTGCGGTAAGTATTGATTAGTCTTCAAAGCTGGGCTATTAATGGGAAGGAATAAATCGCTTTCTAAGCCTTGGTGGGAATAAGAATCTCAACAGGATCAGTTTAATAGGTAGGTTACTTTCATCACTGCCAGGTACTTCAGATATTGCGTTACTTCAAAGCCATTGCCTAATCTGCATTTAGAGCTTTATTTTTCCTTCTCTTACAAATGATTATAATCATAATACGTATTTGAAAAGACATTACTGCTCTATATCTCATTCGGTCTGTAAACTTTAACTGATATATTTAATCACAGATCGGGTAAGATTTGTAGTCTTCCGTCTTTGTAGTCGACTTGCAGTCTTTCGTAATTTTCAAAATAAAAAGATGTGATTAAATTATTAAATTAACTATTTTCTGTTATTTTATCATATAATGTTTACAAAATAGAAAAAAATAGATTAAAAAAAACATTTTTCTGACTGCACATATTCTAATAAATTAGTTCTTTAAATAAACTGATATAATTTGAAAAAAAATATACAACACTAAATATCTCAAAGTGAGATAAAAAAAAAAAACATTTTTTTGTAGGAAATCGGCATTCCGATTACTTTCAGCACATGGGGGAGTAAGAGTTTTCGACCTGCTACAGCTACTACAAATTTTTGGACCTACTAATAATTACTATAAATTATAAAGCCTTGCAAGTATTCGAACTTCATCCAGTATACTTCCTTAGAAATTGTTCTGTAAACTATAATTTAACTGACTATTGCAATGTATTCACAATTATAAGTTTGTAACTTTCGAACATACTAATTTGCATAGAAACTAGTCTGGTGTAAAAGTTGCTATCTTCCTAAATAATTAGTGTTTTTTTCCTTTAAAACACGAAACATGGAAACTTCCTTTTCTTTAAGTGGTATAAACTAATATTGTTTTATATAGTGTAGAAATGCTTTTAACAAAGAGAAGAAAATCATAATGTCAAAATTGAGAAAGATTAAGGTTAAAGAGATATAATAAGCCCTGAGCATTAATTGTGTGCTCAATCAGATAAATCTACGATAAATTCATGATATTTTACTGCAAGGGGCTTGGAAAAGAAATAAAATTACGTCTGTTACTGTTCTATAAAATTTATACTCTTACAAGTGGAAAATACCAAAAATGTGATTGAAGAATAGGTAAGAACTGGTTATTACAAAGCAAAAGTTTAATATTTCATCATAAGTAACTTCTAAGAAATGCTCTGGTTGTACACAGAAGGTTTATATCTTCGTATTCTGCAAGGGACAATAGTCTGTTACTTTGAAATAGGAAATTCAAGGTTATTTTCTGCTGCTCGATTTGACTGGTAACCATGGAAACAATAGATGCGGAAAAAAGGCGACTCGCTTAACTTTTTTCCCCGCTTCATTTCTGTTTAGCGTGTTTCCTTTCATGAAAAGTACGCAAATGGAGGCTGACTTAAAGTGCAGTCTCAAATGACAAATAGATACTGCTAGGTTATGACGACACGATTTACGGTCGCAAATGAGAGGGGGGGCTGGAAATGGCATTGAAGTGGCTATTTTAAAATAATAGACTATATTATCATCGGTTTTATATTAATATTTAAACTCTGAACGATCAGGTAATTGATATTTTTGAAAAATATTCAGCAGATGAGCGGCTTAGACTCTTGTTGTTCTCAAAATTAAAACTGATTCAATTTAGTAGGAAACTGAAATAAATTAAACAAAAATGAGTTTAAACATTCTCTTTTCTTTGCATAGCAGTAGCATAATATTGTTTAACATCTTTAGCACTACCATCAAATACAAATCTTCAAATCAAGAAGGTGGAGTATAAGATAAATTTTATTTTTAGACTTTAGTTTTCTCTATATAAAATCCTATTTCAATAGTTTGATTTAGGAAAAAAAAATTTAAAAAATTCTTTATATACTTTACTTTTAGATACTTGAGATGACTAGCGTTTTAAAGCCAGGTGAATGTAGAAATACCATTTTTTCCTCTTGCTGTTTACGATATTGGAGCTGAAGCTGTAGCTCCAGCAAACATACCGCAGAAAGGATTAAGTGTAATTAAAATATTTCTCGCGAAATCAAACACTCATATTCTTAAATCTTCTACAAACATTTTTAGCAAATATCTAACCTGCTGTATATAATGATACGGTTAACGCTTAATGTCCTTGCTTTAGAGTGATTAATTTCGAGACAGTTTGTATCATATCATTAATGTTTTTGGCATAAATATTTCCAAAAGGGGTCAAACAGATCGTTTTCATGTTTAAGAATGTTAGGTTACGTTATCTAAATATGACAAGCCACGAGGGCTATCTGCTAAGGGTGGGGGAATTTTTTGAGAGAAACTAGCTCGTATTCACGTTGCACATGAGAAAAGCCACGGGAACCAACCATGCAGCCAGCCCGTTCGCCTGGGATCGAAGCCAAGCCAGACAGAACTACCAGTATTTAGCGGTTTTAACCACTCGGCCACTGGTGGGATCTTTTTTTATGTAGATCTAACAAACTAAACTAAGGTTTAAGGAGATAAAATATGATTCGAAGTAAAGCCAATCATTATTCTGATATGTTAAATGAATGTCGCAGCGTTAATTGGCATTTAAAAAAAACGAGAGTTAAACTAACTCGATACAGTTATACTAAATTAAAAAAGCTAGTATGATAATTTGTCGATCCAGGCATCATAACAATGCTAGAAAAGAAAGAAAGATTTCGTTTTTCCTGTAGCACAAAAAAATCTAAACATGGATGTATTTTACTGAAGCCCACTCGCCCCAGTTAACAATAATGGCCTCCTTTTACCCCAAAAACTTGTTTTCGTCATTAGCTTCTTAAATCACCCTTCTCGAAAATCACATTTCGTATACTAAGGTGCTTATAGTAACTAAAATCTTTTAGGAATGTTTAAGAACTATATAAAATCAGTATTAAATCGTTCTCATTGGTTGAAATTTCAGTCCTCAAGATGCACTATACCCATCAGATGTTTATTCGCAGCGCATATGTAGGAACAATGAATGGCAACCATCTTGTCCGTAATATCACTTTAATTAGCACTGGGAATGTACAAACTGATATTCTGAAGAATTTTTTAGCAACACTTAATTACCATCTGGAAAGTGTATAAGAGCCAGTTTCCCGCTCTGTTTTATCAAGTATTGCTGTGAAGAGAAAAGTTAATCTATGTCACTTGAACATAAATTGGCTTTTTAAGTTACTCCTTAAGCTTGTAACATTCTAATTTAAATAAAGTTCTCTAACTGCTAGAACCAAGTAAAACTACGTAGCTACTATTCGCTAAATTTTTCTGCATAAATAACAACTCTGAAGAGAAGGGTTAAAAAAAACCCTTTTAGTTGAATTCAATTATTTACAAACGGTCTCTATTGAGTGTTCAGGAAGCCAACTTGGCTTGAACTTAAAGCAGAAAATGTAAAATTAAAGTAAAGCTAAGTAGACTAAGCAACCTGGCTGCACAAAGTTGCTACCGCGTAGTTGGCTTTTACTAAAACTCACAAGCGTAGACTAAAGCACGGCCGTAACTAAAGCACGGCCGTATGAGCTTTAACTCATACAACAACGCGGCTGCCAAAAGGCAGATCACGCTCTCTCTATATGGCTCTCTACTGTCTAACTGAAGTACTTCACACCTCAGCTTAAATAGTAGTTTCTTCCCTGTTTTGCATTAAGCGTGAAACTGGAAACTCATTCTGATAGGAAAGAGTAGGTAAGAAAATGAGAAAGTAAAGGAAATCTATCTTAAAATAAAAACAACTAGTAGAAAAATAAACCCGACAAACTGATCCGCAATATTTACATACAAGTTCAATTCTGCCAAAACATTTTTATTCTTAAGATACAAAAATGAAGCCTTAAAATTTATAATTACTAAACGATTTAAAGCAATTAGTTAGATCATAACGCTTTTTTTTTCTCATCATTCACTCCAAAACAGTTAACTCAAAGTTATAAAATTTTAATTTAAAATAACAAACATTAAGAAAAACTGAGCTCATAACTCATTTATCAATTAAGTGGATGAGAAAACATATGCTTAGGCAATTAAAAAAAATAGATTGTTAAAAAATTTTATAGACTGTTAAAAATACCCCAATCAAATTTTGAAGTTCGCGAATATCTCAGTAGCATGATTTGTAGAATTTTTTAAAAATTTTC